TGCAGGTGGAACAGAGCCCTTTGACCCTGAGTCTCCAGGAGGGAGCCCGCCATGCCTTGAGGTGCAATTTTTCTACCACCATGAGGACTGTGCAATGGTTTCTGCAAAATCAAGAAGGCAGGCTCCTCAATCTGTTCTTCCTGACTTCTGGGACAAAGAAGAATGGAAGGCTAGAGTCGACGTTCAATTCCAAAGAGCGTTTCAGTACCCTGCAAATTACAGCCTCTGAGCTGGGAGACACAGGCTCCTACTTCTGTGCAGGAGAAGCACAGTGCTCCCCGTCACCTGCAGCCTGGCCCCAAACTGCAGCTGGGGCTGAGCCACAGCCATTGCCTCAGGTGTCTCACTGTGCTGCAGACATGGCTTTAGATTTCCTGGTTCATACTATACCAGTTTGACTCCAACTAACATCACTTTTCAGGGAAGTCACATTATATGGTTCATATATTTTCTCTTCCAGAAATTGTTTCAAAGGGAAAAAGAACCACTGAAACAGAGGGAAGGACCCAAGGCACTTGTGAAGAGGATCCTCTCTCAGAGCACATCAATTGCTTATAAGTCACTGTGATGAAAAAGGCTGGGATAAATTCATAATTTTCAACAAATTGAAAAGAGATAAGTTGATATTCTAGATATTTCTGTATTATTCCATTTTCATGGAAATGCAATGAGAGTATGTGAATATATATATATATATATATATATATATATATATATATATATTCACTCTTGGAATGTGTAAAAATATTTAAAAATGAATCTTTCATGTCATTGAGTGTCGGTCACTTTGTCTAGGTGATTACATATATGATATAAGAACTGACAATATATTTCCACTTCACTCAGGAGTAAACTGAGGGTTGCAGAGCAGAAGTGCTCTTTGAAGCTCACATGGTTGCTAACCAGTGAAGCAAGAGAGGATTTCCCACCCAGGATATCTGATACTAGAGAGTGTACTCTGAATTATTCAGAGCAGAGTCCCCAAGGCCAATGACACCTATTGATAGATTTGTACGTTGTGTTCACATACAACAAGGGCAACAATATGCACTGTAGTCTTTTCCAAATAGCACCCTTCCAGAAGAACTCATTGGACTTTTCCTGTTTTTGATGTTAACATCCACTGGCCTTACTTGCATTTTGAGTGAATGTATTACTCCAGATTTCCCTACATCATTTGTGGTATGCAAAACTGAACAAAAAGTTTGGAGCACCGCCTTGAAAAGTGAACTCAAAGTCTAAACGTGGGAGTGCACCAATGGAAAGGCAAATTGAATTTCCTCCTTGCAAGGTCATGTGTGTGAATGTGTGGGATTACTTGGGAAGGAGTGAAATCCTGAGAACTAAGGTGAGGACAAACAGGCACCTCCAGGAAAGGTGGGAACAAGAGCAGCCTCCTGAGCAGGTGACTCATAAAATCCACAGGCTTGGCTCATAAACAGCCTAGATGGTCTGTTACTGTTGTGGTGATAATCCTAATGCCTTTGTCCTTGAGCTTGTGCTCTGTAAGTGAAATCTTTAACAGGTTGCAACATGTAAATGAGCACATGAGAAACACTGGGCTTCAGGACAGGAATCTTTGGAGGCTTGGGTTCAAGGACACAGCTGGTTGCCCCATTCCAAGTGTATTGCACGCTAGGAGCTCTCTAGTAATCCAAGGCACCTAAAAGTAGATGCTAATAAATATTATTAGTAAATTATTACAAAATGAAAGCATATACATAATGAAATACACTATTTGGAAATACTAGAATCTTTCGAAAGTTCAGAAACTCTAGTCTCAAACTGATGTCACATTGCAGACTGAATTTCATAGACTTAGAAATTAAAATTAAATATAAAAAATAGCTTTATGAAGAAAATATTTTGATAAGAATTTGAGAATGAACCAATTATTAACAAGAGAGATGATTTGAACATTAACATTCCTTATAATTGAAGTTATATAATAACATTGTGATGTAAAAGCATGCACTTAAATTATATGAAAGTCACAAAATCATTTGCAGATATTGAGTTATAGAAAATATTAGAGGGCACAAACATTATTGTGTATACTACATTTAAATGAAAATTCAGGGTCACATGAAGTAGCTTGTATGAGGGTGAATCATCTTTGAATAATTGTTTCACTAGAAACATCCATCCTAGATTTATTAAAATTTTCATTTCAAACTATTTCATCAGCTATATATGCAAATATTGTCACAGTCAATAAAATATTCCCAAGATCTTGAACAACTGCTACATCATTTCTCAAAATTGAATATTATCAAAAATTCTGATTGCAAACTTGTCTTTATCAAGAGCATCACTTTCAGTTATACTGCTTCAAAATGAAGTTGCTGGAAGAATAACTTTTGAAAATTTAATAAGAAAAGGAAGAAAAAACTTATGATTAATTGAGACATTCTATTCATAAGGCAATGTTTTTAATTTAAACTATTTTTCAAGTAGGACACTAATTTTTCAGTTAATATTATTATAGTGGTTATATATGTAGATATAAGTATTATGTATTTTATAAGCAACAAATTATTTTGTAAAGAGAGCTTTATATTCCTTGTTAGCAATTATTCTGCTTTTTGAACAAGAGACCTCAATTTTCACTTTGTATGAGTATCACAAAGTTGATAACCATCCCTGGCTGGGATGTTCACACCCCAAGCTTCACTTGGATGGAAATCATGTATCACAGTCATATGATCTCCTTAATTCTCTCGTGAGATTATCTAGAATGGAAAGATACAAGTAAAAAGCAAAATAAAAAAATAATAGGAAACAGGAGATAGGTCTTTTGCAAAAGGAAGGGGATCAAAAGACAGAGGAAAGTAGTATGGAGGAGAAGGGAAGGGCAGAAAAAGAATTAAGATGTTTTCTGTACATGTACCAACTCCCCGTGATGAATGTGATCACTATGTACTGAAAACATGCATTGACACAAATAAAAATGTGAAACATATATAAAAAGGATAAAAAACAAAGAACCACTGTTGAGAGTATGGCTTTTAATTATTCGATCATCTAGAGAGCTGTGATAGCTGAGGACCCACTGCCTCCCTCATGTAAGGACATGCATTTCAGGGATCATAAATCAGTGCTCATCTTCTGTGGATTGGCTTCTTATGGTAACTCTGGAAAAGCTGAGTTAAAATCTTATACTGCTCACTTTCCATTTTCTATCATTTAAGGATGGGTGATGTCGTATCAGGTGATGAAAGTCAGCATGACATAAAACATAGCATCTTAGCATTTGTAAGTGTGCAGTTCCATTGTGTTCACTTGATTCAAGTGCTGTTCAACCAGTCATTTATAGAACACAGCACTTACAAAACAGCCACATGTAAAACTGAACTCTCTCTGTTACTGCCTTTTACAAACCAGTAAGGCTCCCAACATATTTCTCACTGAAGCCATTTACCAGACGAGGATTTTGTAGATGACTTTTCAAACTTCCTTGCTATCATAGTTCTGTGTTGGGTTCTGTCAATAAGATTGGGAAGGTAAAGAGAGAAAGAAGACACAGACCCAAACAATATCTGAGTCTGTTTTCTTAATCCATGTCTAAGAAGGTACTGATACATTGACTCTGGATTTAAGGGCACCTTTAACTGAAACTGAGGAAACTGAACTCCAAGAAACAATTGGTCTAAGCCTCCCTCAATGTGAAAAGTATCCCTGAGGCTTTCCCATGAGAGGCCTGCATTAGCACTTGCCAGATTCATACGGATGGTCCACTTGCTTGGAGCAAGTAAAATAGTTGGAGGAAATAAACAATCTCAAACTACTCAAAAGAGACTCAGTCATCTTAATGATTCACAATTCTAGCTTGCCAGTCACACTGAAATCCAGGACTATCTGAGTATTGTTTACACAGTGTGAATTTTTCTCCAGAAAAGCTTCTCTTAAAATGATAGTATATCTAAGAAGGATAAACTTGAGATACTTTTAGGTAAATGAATGAACTTTGAGCACATAATTTAACATAATTTAAAATAAATTGGACACACAAACTCTGAGCAGGACCAGATGATGTTTAAATATCATACTGCTTTTCTTGTGTGAGAAAATAAAAGGCTAAATAAGAAGGAAATGGTGAATAAGATTTTAGAACCTGAGGAGAAAATGTTCAAAGAGGAAGGGGAACAGGGAGGGAGAAGGGAGAAAGGAAGGAAGGGAAGGGAGATAGAAAAGAACTGAAGGAAAACAACAGGTACAGAGCCTTGTAAATGAGAATGAGGTCTGAAGGGCAGAGAGGGGAATGGAAAAAGGAGTAAGTCACACAGTGGCAGGAGCATATTCTCCATGGTGAGTGTGACCATGTGTATGTCAAAAGTGTGCCAGTAAGATTTTTAAAGACAATATCGCTAAATTGATATTAATTTAGAACATACAAAATATTTCTGTGGATGTAGCAATGATTCCTCAACCAGAGACTAGTAATCATTATTTTAATTTTATGTAACACAATTGGATATCTAGTACCCATCAGTCACTGCTGTAATGTGAGCGACAGTGCTGAAAACAAAAGTATATGATAACGGTGTGACAAGTCACTTTTATACCTTTTATGAATCTTAGCCTGTTTCACAATGCACACGTAAGAATATGAAGTCCAGTGTTAAAAAGTCCAGGGTAACTGCTATCTTCTGACAGACACTAAACAAATAGCTGATACCCTCGGGGTCGCTAATGACACATTTTCATGCCAGGTGGTACCATGTGAACAAAAAGACCTTCGAGGTTACAGTGACTGTCTGACAAGTTGACACAGGCCACCCGAAAATTGACACATTCTTGTAAATGAGAACAGAGATGAGATCTTATTTCTGACTTGAAAAAGTCCAGGAAAACATTTACTGCGGTCAGTCCCTGTCCAGAGGAGGCGCAGCTTCCTCACACAAACTCGTTTCTGGTCCTGGTTGTGAGTTTAGGCTCTCATCCTTTCATTAGGATTCCAATAGTTCTTCATGTAGAGTCAAGAAATTTAATTAGGCGCTATCCTAAAGATGAACGCTTCTCCCGCCTTGGTGATGGTGATAGTCTTAATAGTAGGTAAGTAAATTGTCTTTGCAATGCTGAGTCCTTTGTGTATGATATCACAAAACCTTTCAGTTTCTCTAAGAGTTTAGGCCTTAAATGACACAAATACGTTTTTCTCCAGGAAGGATATGCGGACAGTCGGTGACACAGATGGGAGGCCAAGTGACCACCACAGAAGAGACTCTTCTGACCATAAACTGCACTTATACAGCCTCAGACTACTCTGAGTTTCTCTGGCATGTCCAGTACCCTGGAAAAGGTCCGCAGCTCCTCCTAAAAGCTGTGAAAGCCAACCAAAGGGAAATAAGCAAAGGCTTCGAAGCCATCTATGATAAAGAAACCAGCTCCTTCCACTTGAAGAAAGCCTCAGTGCAGGAGTCAGACTTGGCTGTGTACTACTGTGCACTGAGTGACACAGTTCTAGGAACCTCAGGGGGAGCTGAGCACAGACTCTGAGCAGGGCCAGGAGCCTGGTTGCTAGGTGTCTGCCTTTGGGATCCGCTGTGGTTTCAGCACAGTCTGTGCTGTGTGACTGACGAAAAATTCTATAAAATCCACAATAGAATAAACAAAGGACATCTCCAAGTTCGCTTTTCACCAGTGAAGTTGAAAGTGGAATTTTAAAGTGATAAGCCTTTACTCAGGGCTAAAATGCCTTCAAGATAAAACCCAGGAAACCAGCACTGTAACCTCTGTACTTATTTGCAGATTTGCAGACAAAGTTCAACCCTGACAAGTGGGTTGTGCCGGCAGATACTGATATCTTATTATTAGAAGGCAAATATGAAATCTTAATTTTGTCTCCCTAACAAAATGTTGGAGGACAAGTGACCGCAAAGCTATGGCATCCCAAAAGCCTAACATTACTAATAGAGACAGTGGGGAAAAGAGGAAACGAAGGTGAACATAAGCTCAATGCTAAGAAAGATGCAGGAATTTGAAAGAGGTTTTCCTCATGAAGAATAAGGATTTATTTGGGGGGAAATCATAAGGTAGACATGACCGATGTTCAAGAGAATGGAAAAGCTGTGTGTAGTGGTATATGCCTGTAATCGCTGCACTCAAGAGGCTGAGGTCAGAGAACTGGCATGAGTTCAAGCCAGCCTGGACTATGTAGTGAGACACTCTCTCAAGAATTAAGAGGAGTGGGGAATCCAAACACAGTGGAAGAAATCACTTCTGTCTAAATGATGAATGACCCAGGTTAGTGGCACAGATGATGTGACTTTCTAACAGCACTTCAAATGAGTCAGTCCCAGTGAAAGTGAAGCATACATGTTTTCTTATTTCACCATGAAGCTCTTAAGAAGGCGGTAAAAATAGTGAATGAGGCATGAAACCACAAAGTACAGCAAAAAGATGACAACAGTGAGAACAACACAATGTTAGTGATTGATATAGAAAAATAAAAGGTCACATGTACAGAAAAGGAAGCTTGCTGTCAGACCAAGTAAAGATGAAACCTGAGCCTAATGAAAGAGATGATCACAGCACATCAAATGTGTGCAGTACCCTCGTGTGAAGGTGTGGGAATCAAATCACAAGTCATCCTCAGATCATCAAGAAAAATGGTGCTAGGTGTGGATGTGTGTGTGTGTGTGTGTGTGTGTGTGTGTGTGTGTCTGTCTGTCTGTCTGTCTGTGTTTTGCTGTTGTTCAAAGAGAAAAGGATGATGAGAGAGAATCCAGCTGGAAAATATGTAACAGACCAACCATTCTATCCACTAAAAACTGCAAAGCAAACAGTGATTACTTGTGAAGCCCAGCAATTTGAAAATCCTGCTATAAGATGAGGAGCAGTGTATTAAAAGCAAGACATTTAAAAATATGCAAATAAAATAGTAGACTAGAATAGTCAGTTACTCAATATAGGAAAATTAAATCAGGCTTTTAAGGTCAGGAGAAGCTACGGGGAACACCTGTCACTATTGGTGGGAATGTACACTAGTACAACCACTGTGGAATTTAGTTTGAGATTTCTCAAGAAACTAAAAACAGAAATTCCATTTTACTCAGCTCTCCCTCTTCTAGGCATTTTCAGAAAGAGTGAAAGACATCATATTTCAGTGATACACGGATGCCCGTATTTATAGCAACATGATTCATAGTAGCTGCATCTTGGAAGTGGCCTGTGTGTCCATCAAGAGATGGACTGAAAGACAAAGTATTCTCTTTTATGCACATGGAGTACTTTTCTGCATTAAAGGCAGGTAAGCTTGAGTCACTTATAGGTAATGATTGCACCTTGAGACCATACATTTTAACTGAAATGTATCAAATATGGAGGATTTCTATCACATTGTTTCTCTTGTATGAGGAACCTAAAATAAAAAAAAAAAGATTAGACAGTAGAAAGTAGAGTACTATCTCATTCTCAAAGGGAAGAGGATCAAGAGATGGAGGAAGGGGAAAAGAGGGATAGGAAAGAGGACAAAAAAGGAATTAAATATGTTGTCTCCATGAACCAATTCTGCTCAAGGAGCTTAAGTGTGGTGTGTACTGCAAACAGGCACACACACAAAAGGAAGAGGACCAGGATGGTAGAAGGGGAAGGAGGGAAGGGAAAGAGCATGAAAAAGGAATTAGTGTGTGTTATGTACATTTTCCAACTTCCCCCAGCGAATGTAAACATTATGCACAGTATACATGTACTAGCAAACTAAAATTTTAACCACCTAGTGGAAGGCTTAGTCTCATTAACCTGCTCAGAATGCGGCCTTCCGTTCACACAGGTGCTTCATCATTCCCACCGCCTTCCTGTGCCGCTCTGGACACCCTCTTCATGAGTGTCTTTTTAAAGTGTGATAAAAATATGAAAATACTGCACAGTGAAGGCTGCTGCTGAACCTATTTAATGAAAAGTCCACCTAGACAAACACGGAGGTGTGCCCCATCCGCCTTCCTCACTGGGTCTGGCACCCCGTAACAGCTGGCTCTTTTCCAAAGGCAAAATCACTAGACAGGGAAACATTCTGAATGGATCAGGGATCACAGCAGCCACGATCACACAACTACAGACACAAAATTAACTGAACTTCCCAGACAGCTGAGACAGTAGCGAAGACAATGAAAGGTGAACACTCAAAGCCAAGGAGATCAATGGCCCTGTGTATTTTACTGAAACACTTTTTTTTTAAATTTCAGTATCCACTGATTGTTTAATAAAGCTTGTGTAATTGTCTTCGGTAAATCACAAAGAGCCAAAATGGCTAAACAAGAAACTAACAGAAATCATGTGACATGGAATTTCAGAACAAGACAATCTGCATGGGAAAATAAATTTATGAAAACACCAAATTTTGAATTGTTCATAACCTTCCGAAGACTAACAGGAATCTGAAAAAAAAAATAAAATAAAAAATAAGAGACATGGATGAAGATGGCACTGAGAGGACAATGAACCAATCCACTGAGTTCACCGCTCTGCCCACCAGGGGGCGCATCTTCCTAACTCATGCACAGCCCCTGTCTACTTCTAAGCTCATAGTCACCCTCTCATTGTAACAGTAAATTTTTCTTACAGGAAGAGGCCCAGAGGCAGGGGCTCCAGAGACTGAAAATGAACTGTTTCTCGGGAATTATGATTGTGTTATGCTTGACATTTGGTGAGTAAAATAACACATAAATCTTAAAGTCTTTTGAACCAGAATGTTGAGACAATTTTTAACCAGTTTTCTGTGAGAAAACCCCACTTTAGGACCAAGGTAAGCTGCCACAAATTGTATTTTTTTCTTTCTTTCTTTTTAGGAGGAAGCGAGGAAGAGTCAGTGACACAGACCCAAGGCCAAGTGACCCTCTCAGAGAGAACTGCCCTGACTGTGAACTGCTCCTATGAAACTGCAGTGTATCCGGGCCTGTTCTGGTATGTCCAGTATCCCGGAGAAGGTCCACAGCTCCTCCTGAAAGCCACAAAGGACAAAGAGAAGGGAAGCAACAAAGGCTTTGAAGCCACGTATGACAGAGAAACCGGCTCCTTCCATTTGAAGAAAGCCTCAGTGCAGGCATCAGACTCGGCTGTGTACTACTGTGCTCTGAGTGACACAGTGGCAGGAACCGCAGGGGGAGCTGAGCACAAACTCTGAGTGATGACGAGGGAACTGGCTGCAGCTGTCTGCCTTGGGTTTTATGGTTTAGGGGCCAGGAACGTGTCTAACATGGCTGTTGCCTATCAACCAGTGCTGGTGCTATTATAGTGTAAAATCACTGGAACTAAAACTAACAAAACTGCATAAAAACAGGAGGTAAACGTGTCTCCCACAAGACACTTTCATGGTGAGAGTGAAACACACTGTCATAATGGATTCTCAGTCAGGCAGGCGATTCATGATTCTAAAAGCGGAAACTTTATGATGAATGCAATGGTTTATGCTTTCATGTAATTTTATCTTCATGTCATTGTCCCTAGATACCAAAATAATAATATATTTATTCACAGCTGTGGCATAGGTAGGTGAAGATGCTTACTGTCTCCCTGATAAGCTGGTGATTTTAAGGGAAACTACAGCCTCATGGATAATATGCTCTGAAGGAGAGAAAAAAAATGCAAGAAAGGAAGGGGAAGAATAACGTGCTGCCTTTGACCTCACATAAGGAAAGAGATGGTGCTTTTATTAGTTTCTGTCAGGAAAACTATGTGGCATGAACACACTGACTTTCTCCAGACTAGGTTAGACAGGTGCACACCTGTAAAGGCTTCCGACCTCCATCATTTCTCAGTGAGTGGCTCTTAATCAGCAAGACAGTCCTTGAGAGAGACAGGCAGTGTCCACAGGCTGGGGAAGGAAGCCACTGAGATGACCCCTTTTCTGGACATTGGTGGGCAGGGAATCCCAGCACCCCAAACACCTCTCAGGCCGTTTCTCTGACTGAAGAGCAGTAACAGATGGAGTGGGAGCCAGTGGTCAGAGTATGAGAGAGCAGGGGTGGCAAAGAAGGACAGTTTAACTGAGGATACATTGGTGTCACTGCAAATATTGGAGAGTTTGCTTTTCTATTTCTATTCTTTTTAACCTTAATTTACTGCTCCATTTATACTTCAATAAAAGTAAAGATAATTATAGAAATTTAACAAATAGGAAACAAACACAGTAAAATGAGAACTGAAGTACAGATGTGAAAAAATAAACACAGAAATTTTGATAAAGCAAAAATTACTCTTATTAAATAGTGCAGTAGCCTGAATAATAGCTACTAACTGAGTCCATATCGTAAGCACCAGAATCTGGCAATATGGTACCTTACAAGGTATTTTAGCTTCCTAGAGCTGTCATAGAAAAAGTCAGAGTGGACAGGTAACAGTAACAAAATTTATTGTGTCACCATCTGGATGCCACAAGTGTATCCTCTCTCTGAAAGAATTTGAGAGGATGTGTTCCAACTCGTCTTCCTGCTCTGACTGTCAGAGACTTGAAATGATTGCACCTTCCCTATGGCTTCCTTCAACATAGCCCCTCTGTGTGCTTGGGCTTCTTAATATTGTTGCAGAATACAAGAGGTCAGAGAGCCTGATGGTGACAAGGAGGACTGACTTCCAGGATTCCAGATGCACATCTGATCTCATACCCAAAGTGCTGGGTGTTAGAATAAAGGAAAGGCTCTAGTTGTATATATTTGGCTCAGGGGATTCATCTTTAGACACTGGAAGTGGGGTACAGAAGCAAGACAAGGCAATTAACAACTTAGTCTTTAAAGAAGATAGAGCCTTGTGAATCCTGTAGGATCAAGATGACACAAGCCCTGATTCCAGGTTGCTGTTGCCCAGCTTATCTGCACCAGAACAGGAAGTTACAGCTACAGAGCCGGGTGGTAGGGAGTTCCAGGGGGGTGTTCTTTAAATCCAAGTTCAATGTGACATTGATTTTATAAGCCCAGTCATACTGGACAGGAGCCTTGCCTACTCTAGCACGGCTTTAACTGAATATGTCCATCATGACCATGTTTACCATATTTTCATGATTACTATATTTCAAAACAATTTCATATTCAAAAATGTGAGAAATTTGAACTTCATTATATGAATTTGAGGGGCATGATTCATCAGAATGGCTTATGGCAGAACGGATTTTGCAGATGAGATGAATATAAAGATCTTGGTACAGAATGTTTGTCCTGAATTGCTCAGCATGGCTGAATTAATCATAAGACAGTCAGTAGAGTGAGAATGAAAAACGTGGTGTGCCGTGGAAATGAGGAAAACCTCTAAGATCTGAAAGGCAAGAAAACAGATGATTCCCTCTGAGTATTGGAAAACATTGGAAAAAGGAAACATACTTGTTGGCTTCTTGGTTTTACATTAGGGAAACCAATTTTGAATTTGTGGCTCCCAGAATTGTAGGACAAAGTCTGTGTTGCTTTATGCCAATATGGCTGCTGTAATTTCTTAAGCAATAATCAGAAACTAGTAAAAATAGAAATAAAAGACTGAGAAGTAGACATCGCTCAAGTAGAAAAAAAAAAAAAAAAAAAAAAAAAAAAAAACTGTTAAGTGGAAACTACATATAAATAGCACTGTTAAAATTTAAAAATTTTAGGAAAGCGAATCACTTCATACAAAAATATATATCATCCAAAATAACACAATAATAAATAAAAATCTGTATACATTTAACCATTCATTTAATAATTATAAAAAGAAATATCTAGATAATTTTTAATAAATTTTAATTGACGTGTTCCTCATGGCAAAATTAAGCAACATACATCCTAAAACTAAAGCTAGGGAATAAACTGCTATGAAAAATAAGAAAGCAATCCAAAATAAAAGCAGGTAAGTATACAAAAATCAGCTCAAGAAGAAGAAATAGAATGGGTGAGTAAACACATAAAACATTGGCTGTACCTATCAGAAGAAATTAAAGTAAAAAATTTACGTTATTTCTAGTAGAGAAGCAAAATAAATTCTGCTTACATTGACTGTTGAGAAAAATATAGAGATATAGAACAGTTATACTTTTTCAGGTTAGAAAGAAAACCATACAGACAGAACAATTTATATAACCATTTAGGAGACTACAATAGTTTGCTTAAACTGGTTAAAATTAGGTACTTGTGAAATTCAACAAATCCAATTATTGGTATCTAAATTTAAAATTTAAGTACCTGAACAACAAATAATTTACAAAGATGCAGCACATTTTAAAAATAAATATAACCAGCCATCAGTGTAATGGAACCAGTGTCATGGGAAGCATAGTTTATTCCTAGAATACAATGTGTAGATATTTATAACAAATAAGTGGTTCCACATGTGTAGATGAATCCTAAACACATAGTGTTGAGTATAAAAGGAAAATATCAGAATGGTACACACTGCATGACACCACTGATGAGAAATCTCAAAATATAAACTACATCGTTTTGTGCTACCTGTCTATGAGGGCAAAATTTTGAATTATTTGAATGAAATCTTCCTACCAGCAATTCTTTCTTTGGAAGGAGAGGAGAAAAAACAGGGGTGACTTGTTTATCTGCGTAATACTTTTTAAAAAGAAGAGGGTCATGGAGAGGGAAAGAGAGCAAGAAATACAATTAAAACAACACAATCACTTTTTTCTGCCTGGTAAGTTTTCTGCCATATAATTTTCTATATTTTTTAAATGTGATAATTGTATAATACATTTAAAATAATTTCTAAATAAATAGCAGCAAGTAGATTTTTAGGATCTCCACTGATCCACAGAATGGAGAAAGAAACTTCTCCTTACAGAACTCTATGAAACACATGCCTGCTACACTGCAGAAATTCCAGGACAGAATCTGTGATTTCCTAATGAATGAAAAGGTGTGCAGTTAGGTGGTGCAGAGAGGGTTCATACACTCACGGCTGCTCAGGATGCGGAGCAGGAGGATGGACTGGGAGTAGGAGTCCAGGTCAGCCTGGGCAACCCAAGGGTCTCTGTCTCAAAAAAACAAATATTCAAAACAATAGAAAAGGCACAATAGCAAGTAAACAGTATATAAGAAATGCTTGCTGTGTCACATTGACCTCTCAAATCTTGTGCCATTTCTTCTGTGACCAATTCTAAAGCAGAACAACATATGGAAGCAAATGCTGGGAAGCGTATTTTCAGAGCATTCAGAAAATAAGAAGCTACCACAGTTAACCCTTTCACCTTGGCATATTCATCTCCTTCACCAACACTTAAAAGTTTAAAAAAAAAAAACGGAACAATCACACTTCTTGCTGAGATGATACAACTATTTCTGGCTTTACCCAAAATGTTCTCATCTTGTCTGCCCAACATTACACAGGTTTTGCTTCATCTCGGTGGGCTTTCTATGTGAGGCACAATCTCTTAAAGATGTCTTGTAGCTTAAGTACTGAGAGACAATGAGATAGGAGATTATCCCTCATTTGTACGTTTTATACTGTACATGCATGCAGATGGGAGAAGAGTAAACCATGGATTCTATACATATAAATATGTTCATATTAGATAAAGGGCAAGTTTCATAGCAGTTACTGTGCTTGGTTCCACAAATAGTCATGAAATGCTGTATGCAAAGCCATAAATTTGGAGCAGGAACTGTGAGTCAGCTACATTGTGTTGGCAGCAGAGTTTCAGGCAGGCAAGTGAAGGTAAATCTAGATCTGCAGTCAAGAGCAATAAAATCTTTCCAACACCCAGAGAGAATTCATACACTTTACAAAACAACCTAAATAATAGCACTTTTGCTTTCAACAAAGAATAGTAGCACAATGGCCATCAATAAAGAAGAAAAATTTTAAAGTCCTCAGAAAAAGTACTTTCACAGTCTTTCCTATTTTTCTATGAATGTCAATCCTGCACAGTAACTTGTAATTTCATCTACTTGAGAAGTTGAGACTAAAGAGCTGAGGTCAAGATCAACACAGAAAATTTAGCCTGGTCCTTTCCTCCTCCCCTCAAAAAAACTTGAAAATGCCAAAAGTTCATCCAAAAATTGGAAAAGTATATTTGATATCTGTTTATCTATCTACCTATCTATCTATGTATCTATCTATCTATCTATGTATCTATCTATCTGTATATCTATCTATCTACCCATCTATCTATCAACTATATTTATCTCTTTGTTCTTAGGGTGTCCTGAAGCACCTGAGAGCTCAGGGAACCCTCAGGCCCCAGTGTTCTAAGTACCTGAGCCCACAGGCATGCACGAGGGCATATGGCTCTGCAGTGCACATTTCTGAGAAAAGATTCGAATGCAGAGTATGTTGAAAGTTCACAAATCAATAAGCAGCCACCAATAAAAGTTATGAAAGTTCATCTGCTTCAGATATGTGAGAATAGCAAATAAGCTTAGAAAAAAGAACTTGATTGTAGTCAAGGG